CTTCTCTCTCTCTCTCTCTCTCTCTCTCTCTCTCTCTTTCTTTCTCTCTCTCTCTCTCTCTCTCTTTCTCTCACCCCTCCCTCTCTCTCTTCCTCCGCCTCCCTCTCCCTCTTCCTCCCTCCCCCCTCTCCAACTCCCTTTTCGTTGTGTACGATCAGCTCGGAGTGCCGCAATCTGTTTAAAGTTTCATCTCCAAAGAGGGAATGGAGTAGCAGCAGCGCACGGCGCAAAGTGGTCGATAAGACCGATACCATCGAGAAGGGTGAACAAGAGGAAAGAATATACATGAATGCATTTTGGAACGCAATAGACTCAGAACGCGAAACGTCCAATTTTTTTTTTTCCATTTACTTCTCCGCTTTCCTCCCTGCGAGGTCTGTTCCATTATGCACATCGGGGCGGACTTCCCTCCGCGGCGCGCGGAAGCTCCCTATTACCGCGGACCCGGCCGCAGGGCCTCCGCGCGCCGTCACCGTCAGCCTCACTCAGGCGTTAATTACCAGCCAGTAATTTTTCATTTTATGGTTCGGATCGGACCATGTGGGGAAACAGAGCGGCTAACATCAGCCAGGAGGCGTGGTTTTGGGTCTATAGCTATAGCTGCTAAGGAGAGGCAGGGGGGGGGGGCTGGCCTGCAAGGCGAACGTCGCGAACACCCTCTGTCTTGTTGAGAGAAAGTGGGGAGGTGGTGATAGAGAGGATGGAGTGGATAGAAAATTACTCAAACGCGAGTTCCGTGGAGAAAGGCCTAGAGCAGCGAGGAAAACTTGCGAATGCTGCAAGATCCAGCAGAAGACATTAGTTTAATAAGATGTGTTTTTAATTAAAAAATTCCATCCCAACTCGGTTTTGACGTCTGGTCTGGCTTGTAAAAAAACAGGAGGGCAACCTGTTTTCCTTTATTACTGCTCCACCTCATCCACACGAGCCACTTTGACTTTACAGGCGTGGGTCTTGCCTTGTTGCTCTCTCTAGTTCATTAGGCTTACAATTAAAAAAAATGAAATCCTAGTTTCTTTGACGGGGTTTGCAACATTACCTGATTTCTGCGGTCCGCTGGGCGTGTGGTTCGCTGTGGCTTTATTCCTCCTGAAATCAAAGAAAAATTTCTGTCAAACCAAATCTGATATGACGAAGTTTGACTTGATGTAGCCTTCATTTTCTATTTAAGTGGATCTCTTAGCACATTTGATAAATCTTAATTCATTAGACCAAACCAGAAACGAATCGTCCTATTGACCCGCGAATGTCACCAAAAGAAGCACGCCTGTATGGGGCGGGGTGAGGTCCATGGACGCGCCGGCAGAATCTCATTTAAATAATGCTCTAACGCCTCGTCCTACGCGCTGCTGGGACACCTTGAGGCCGGCCGCCGCGTGCCGTCGCAACTTTCTTTTCTTAGCAATAAGGAAAATTCGCAAGCAATTTCGCCAGCTGTCTTAAAGTTATCCGAAAACCGTAGCCGGGCATGGACCTGGACGCCACCCGTGTTGCCCCTACGCCAGCGCTTTTCACACCTCGGCACACGGCCTTTGCGGGGTGGGGGGCTCGCCGTGTGAACCTTCCAAGGTATTTAGAATCTCTGCATGCTTGTCCACTCTTGGTGAATAGCTCGGGTATGCGCCCCCCCCCCCCCAAAAAAAAAAAGAAACGACTTTTGTATGTATGAGAAATGGGAAAACAAACACTTGTTGTATCTTGGCCTTGCTTGAAGTGTTCTTGCTGGAACAAAAAGACTGGCAGCCCTCACCGCTCCACTTGCCTGCTCCCGGCCGTGTCCGCCGCCTGGCTGGCCGCCAGATGGTGCGCCTCTCCCGGGGCCCCTGGAGGCCCCAAGCAAGGGCGCTGCCAACCGCGTAACCACCACGCGCTTCCCCTACCCCAGCAGGGTGTCGAGTCGAGCACCCTCGCACGCGCTAGCCCTTTTATTTTAAAAGTCTTGCGGAGCGGAGGAATGCAAGTCGGTTTAAGGAGGAGTGCGACAAATTTGGCCATGACGAGCAGTGGCCGTGGTTACAGACAAAACTTCAGAATCTATAATAAATCTGTGAAAACTACCCGGGTGGAAGGAAGTGCAATCAAAGTATAGTTGAAACTATACCGCCCAAACTACAGTTGCAAGACTACAGTCACAACTGTAGTTTAACTGTAGCCTTGCGTGTAAAGTAAGATGCAACTTAACTTACAGCTCTAACTGTATCCGAAAAAGTAGTCAAACAACATTTGAACTGCTGTCGTACTAACAGTCGATATACACTCTACCATTGGAGTAAAGGCTACAGAGTCGATTATAATTTAACCGAGGTTAAACCGCAGTGGTCAAATGTTATTTACACAGTATTTATTTTTGTAGTGAGGCACAATACTTTGAGTGTAAAGTGGACCGCACTTCGGCTATGTTTTTTATGCACAAGTAGTCCTTGTATCTAGTGTTACCATAGCGCTATAGCGCCTTACGGACGGAAGGAGTAGGCCAACCCGCCAACCCGCCGTGCGGAGATGGCGGCCCGCCTGCAAGCATGGTGATAGGCAACAAAATCACACGGTCGTGTAGTGCGTTGCCTATGCACCAGGCGCCTAGTGCCGAGGCCGAAAATCAACCACTCTCGTTAGTAACAAGTCCGCGCCGGGCAGTTGACGTTTTCACTTCCACCTCTTTAGCGCCCGCAAGAACGGTTATCTAAACTCCTGCAATAATGAACACCTAGGTAAATCGCCAAACAATTTAGATTCTCTAAATCAACAAACTTCGTAACCGCAACCGCAAGTACAATAGCCAGGG